CCAACTGACCAAAGGGATATTCCATACCATATGACGTCATGTTCCGCATATAAAGCTGGGGGAAGAAGAAGGAAGGGGGGGACATTTGCCGTTATGGTACTTTGTATTCCCAAGTAACTGTTACACGTGATGGAGCCCTGCTGTCCTGGAGATGGCTGAACACCTGCCTGCCGATGGGAAGTAGGGAATTAATTCCTTGTTTTGCTTTGCTTGCATGCGCAGCTTTTGCTTTACCTGTTAAACTGTCTTTATCTCAACCCACGAGTTTTCTCATTTTTACTCTTCTGATTCTCCCCCCCATCCCACCAGGGGGGACTGAGCGAGCGGCTGTGTGGTGCTTAGTTGCTGGCTGGGGTTAAACCACAACACCAAAGATGACTGGAAAATTCATGAAACAAAAATCCACCTGGGCCTGTTATTTGCAAAGAAATCCCTCATCAGTAATCCCTAGAGTCTAGAGTAATGTGGGAACGTATCATCACATACTTCTCTGACGCTTACACTCTTCCATTATGGAAGGCATCCACTATAGAAAGCTGCAGATACATTTGGCTAAAAGGACCTTTTCTTAGGTCTAGCACTGACATTTTAAAGTTTAAATAAAACCTTTACTCAAACTATCTAACCATTGTGTCAAAAACATCCAGTAACTGAAGAACTCTAAGATTCCACTGCAGATTTTTTGCCATTGGTCCACTTTGAGATACTGCCATAGTTGCACAGCCTACAGGAAAAATCTGAGCAGGATTGTGCCTCATTTGACAGCATCTTCTTGTACTTGATTCTCCAGTCATTATATGGTATCAACCTGAATTTATTATATGAGCATTGGTTGCTATGGAAATCATCATCTGCTAAATTCAGCATTATTGATTTTGTTTAACATGGGAATACTTCAGCGTGGTTCCTTTTCAGATCAGAGCTGTAGTTTTTAGACAAGGTTCTGATCACTCCTTTCACAGGAAAATCCATAGAAAGAGAGTTAGAGAGAATTAAATCTCAATGAAACAACACAGATCAACACTAGCCTCCAAGCTCGGCAAGGATCTGAACGGATTGCAGACATTCTGTATCTCTACCCCTACCCTGCAAGCTGGGCTATTCTATGACTTGGGAGTAATTTATTCAAGAACGCCTTCAAAACGCAGTTCTTGAACCAGCACAGGTACTGGAAGGAGCATGCATCATAATTGGCTCTATTTCTCAAGTCAGCTTACCCTCTCTCAGATGGAAATCCTCAGTAATTCAGCTAGATTATTTTCAACACTTAGACTAGCTTATTTACAGACAGCTAAACCATCAAAACATAGCGTCATTCTTCAGTCTCTCCAAGATCTGGTTCACATTTTTGCATGAACTGAAAAAAAAACCAAAAATAATCCATTTTCTTCATTAACTGAGGGGAGGTTAATCAGCACACAAACAACGCCATGCTTATGAAAATGTTTTTCAAATTGAGTAAGGCAATAAATCCAAATTTAAGTATCTAAATTGAGGTAAACTAATTCTGAAGATCAAGTCTGCAAAGACAAATATTGTTAATATTACACATACGAGTAGCCTGATTAAGTCTGTAGGATCAGTGCCTTTAGGATTACTGGGGTTGTGAAATACTAGGCAAATACCATATAAAGCCAGAAAATAAATTGTCAAATAAAAAGTTAGTTTACTGAATATCAGAAATAAGTGAGACTGATTTTCTACCGACTCATGGTTTGTGAATGATTACTGTCTCAGAAGGTATGTGCACCAAAGGCTGCAGGACATTTACCACTGAGGCATTTACATAAAGTCTTTTTTCCCATGTAGATTCTTTGGTGTGTAGTAAGGACTATAACGTCATCCCCCATCAGAGTGCTTCTGCTCTATCTGGCCACCTGTTATCATGAAACCTGCAATAATTTATTTATCAACACTTCTGTTAAGTTTGACCAAACCAGCCAATAGGTTCAAAAGCTAATTGAGGATCAAAACCAACAGAAAGTACAATTGTTTAAGCCTTGCTTCCACAGGAAAACATTAAAAATATAAAGGCACAGATAACAGTTCATCAATATTTGTTATGAATGTGATTCACACTCAAATTATTCACAAATTATTAACTATGTATATGATTATGACTCATGAAGACAGTACAAAAGGTTCCTTGACTATGATCTTGCTGTTCTATTCAGGAAAATACATTCAAGTTTCTGACATTAGTGTTTTATAAGGACATGTTTGAAAACAGAATTGCAGTAAAAGTACATGTAACTTAAATTTTTCAAATACCTCATAGAACTGAACAGAAAAAGCTGTAGAGAATTATAATCAGAAATTGCTATGCACACCACAGATGGGAAACTTTGCATCTTCCCCTTCTGTCAAAAAGCATGGAAAATATTTTTATCCACCATAACTTACATCCTGAATTCTGTATATGCAATAGTCAGGTGCACATGGGCCCTTCATTATGATAGCTTTTTATTTATCATAGCCCACAAAACTCTGTGCATGGCCTTGGTCACAAGCAACAGGTTACACAAAGGATTTAAATCTGCTCCTGTCTAAATATATGAAATAATCAAAAAAAAACATGTTCATAGTCCATCTTTAGTCTTGAAGAGGCTCTATGCTGACTACAGTCATGCTGTTCTCATACAGAACGCAGATTGCTGCTCAAAATCATACGTGCCTGCATAACAGCTACAGAAGACAGAGAGAGAAGCTCAAGAATATTCTCGTCATGTTTTTGCCATTTTATCTTGTGTGTCAGCAGCAAGAGCTAATCGGACAGGGCTTTGAGCAGGAGCACACTTTCTAGCTGAGCAGCTCACACGTTTCTCCTAACAAACCTATGCCACTGAGGCTATGAGGAACCCTTTTCAGCCTGTACTATGGCAAATTTCTTTGATATATGCTTCAACACATGTCTTCAACATGCTGAGGCATGAGTGTATGGTAAGAGCTAGTCAGCAGTTTTTCTCTTTAATAAATGTAGGTACTTGTGGTTTCATTCACTTCTGACCTGGATCAGAAGCTTCAGAGTCAGGATCTGGATCCACCACCTAATAATCCTAATTCCAGAAACTAACTTCTTTGAGTATGAAAATGTATTACAATTCAAATTAAAAGGTCATTCTAGAGCACTGGAGAAAAAAAAAAAATTACTTCTGTTCAACAGCTCAATACTGACAAAAGTTACAATGGGAAGGCAAAACTGACACAACCACAGAAAGCAGGCCTCAAAGAAATCTCTGATCAGAGACAGGATCACTTGAACCTAAAACATTCCTGCAGGATGTGTTTTTTTCTAAAATGTTCTAGATAATTAAATTAGGTACTGGTAGAAAAGTTTCCTAAGATCTAGCCCAAAGCTGCCTTGACAAAGTTTAAGCATTTTTGTTCTCTCCACACTGGATACAGAACAGTTTATTCCCTTCTTTGCAGTGTGACTGTCACAGCCTTTGTGTATAACAATATTCTGAAGAATATACTGAAGAGCCCTTTTCCACACAGTATCACACAGCGTGGCTGAGGTTGGAAGGGACCTCTGGAGGTCATCTGGTCTGACATCCCTGCTCAAATGGGGCCACCTAGGGCCTGTTGCCCAGGACCACGTCTAGATGGCTTTGGAAGATCTCCAGCAGCTCTCTGGGCAACCTCTGCCAGTGCCCCATTACCCTCACAGTAAAAAAGTGTTTCCTGATGTTCAGGAGGAACATCTCATGTTTCAGTTTGTGCCCACTGCCTCTGGTCCTGTCGCTGGGCACCACTGAAAAGAGCCTGGCTCTGCCTTCTTTGCACTCTGTCTTCAGGTTTTTATATACATCGATACGGTCCCCCCTGAGCCTCCTCTAGGCTGAACAGTCCCAGCTCTCTCAGTCTTTCCTCATAGGAGAAATGCTCCAGTCCCTTCATCATCTTTGTGGCCCTGCATTGGACTCTTTCCAGTAGCTCTATCTCTCTCTTGTACTGGGGAGCCCAGAAGGGGGCACAGCACACCAGCAGTAGCCTCACCGGTGCTGAATGGAGGGGAAGGATCACCTCCCTCAACCTGCTGGCAACACTCCTCCTAATGCAGCCCAGGATACCATTAGCCTTCTTTGCTGCAAGGGCACACTGCTGGCTCATGTTCAACTTGGTGTCCATCTGGACTCTCAGGTCCTTTTCTGCAAAACTGATCTCCAATTGGGTGGTTCCGACCATGTACTGGTGCCTGTGGTTGTTCCTCCCCAGGTACAGGACTTTGCACTTTCCCTTGCTCAACTTCATGAGGTTCCTCTCAGCCCATTTCTGCAGCCCATCGACCTGTCAGCACAACCCTCTGGTATATCAGCCACTCCTCCCGGTTTCATGTCATCTGCAAACTTGCTGAAGGTACGCTCTGCCCCATTGTACAGATCATTAATGAAGATGTTGCACAGGATCAGACCCAGTATTGACCCCTGGGATACACCACTAGTTACTGGCCTTCAACTAGACTTTGCGGCACTGATCACCACCCTCTGGGCCTGGCCATTCACCTCACTGTCTGCACATCCAGCCCGTACATCAACAGCTTCTCTATGAAGATGTTATGGGAGAGTGTCAAAAGCCTTACTGAAGTCTAGGTAGGCAATAACCACTGCTCTCTCCCTGACTCTGCCAAGCCATTTCATCACAAAGTTTAACAAGTTGGTCAAGCATGATTTCCCCTTGGTGAATCCGTACTGACTACTCCTGATGCTCTTCTTGTCATTCACGTGCCTGGAAATTATTATCAAGCTTAACCATTTAACAAGCTTATTACTTTATTTCAGTAATTTTACAAATGATATTCCTAATGTTAAGGTATTCATTTTAGGAAAAAGACACCAAATTAATAGTGGAACTTAACAATTGCTGGTACTCTTGCATTATTTATCGTTCACCAATGTTTTTAAGTCTTGTCAGGGAAAAGAAATTATGAAAGAAGCAGCTGAAATGGCACTCCAGTACTAAATAAGATCTCCTAACCCTGGATTACTAAAACCAGTGTGTTAGTTTTGTTAGCTCTACCAGTTGCCTGACAAACACAGTTGTTCAATCCTGAGGAACAAGGATTTTCAAAATAATTTGAGGGATCTCAAAGAAAATTGGATGCATATCTGCCTAAGAATCCTTTTAATCCTCTTCAAAATTATGATTTGGCATAATTATGAGTATTTGCAATAGAAGGAAAGTTGCTTTAAAGGACTACAGGCTTTCACTTCTGAGTGAACTCAAAGGAGCCTTATACATAGGCTTCCATAAAGGTCAATTTTCTCTCATGTTCAATATGCATGAGATAAGCTGAAAGGTAATAAAGAAGGCACATAGACGAAACGCCTTCCATCCAGCGGAACCCCTTTGTTGTGGTGGTTTGATCTTTTCTTCCCATTATTACACAATGCCATTCCTAACAGAAATTATTGTGTAATCTCTGCCGTAAGTATTCAAAAGTAACAGTTGTGCTGCCTGAAACTAAGCTAAAAAAACCATATTCTGTTTTGAATAATCCAACCAATACCTTAGAAAACTTGCAGGTGGTTTGTACTTGTACAACTATACTGGAATTGATATTCCTGCTGAGAATCTTTGTTAATGAAAGGAATTTCACACGTTTAACTACACCAGTACAAAAATACTGACTTCAGTTTGCCTGTAAATGACGTGTGTCAACATGCCCTAAGATACAGTCCAGTTAAGAGAAAAATATTACTGCTGGATTATGATAAGCACTCCTTCTAACAGTTGTAAGGCGTGAGACTGGTTTAAACTTCAGGCTGCAGTACTAGCAAAAACAATGCTGCTAAAACAATGATCCCTACCCACGCACTTGTGCCTCACATGAGTTCAGGGTTTTTTTCCCCATCAGAAGAGTTCTCAGACAGATGTATTACATGATCACAGACAATACCCGCATTTCTGATAGCACCATGAAAGCAGAAAATTAAACTAGTCTTCTTTTACCAGAGGCCCAACAAGGAGAGGAGGCAGCAGCACGCCGCAGGCAGGGGACACAGAACGTGAAGACAAAAACAACGGTGAGATCGCCCTTTCTGGCAACATTCCCGCTAAGCCTACCTCATCTCACAGGGCGACTACACCCATGAAATACCACTGGAGTTCAGGAAAGCGCAGAATTCAGGATCTACCTACTGAAAAATCCCAGTGCCAAAAAGAACACTCGTATCCTAGGAACCGCAGTGCCTCTTACCAAATCCTGGCAAGTTGCTGCTTGTATTTTACCATGGAAGTATTTACGGTGCTCTTTTGCTGGGTAAGAACGTTTGAAACCCTGTCCGCAGACCCCATGCACCCCTGCGCACCCCCGCAGCCCGTCCTTATTTTGTAGCACTCAAGTACTAGAAAATTAAACTAGTCTTCTTTTACCAGAGGCCCAACAAGGAGAGGAGGCAGCAGCACGCCGCAGGCAGGGGACACAGAACGTGAAGACAAAAACAACGGTGAGATCGCCCTTTCTGGCAACATTCCCGCTAAGCTTACCTCATCTCACAGGGCGACTACACCCATGAAATACCACTGGATTTCAGGAAAGCGCAGAATTCAGGATCTACCTACTGAAAAATCCCAGTGCCAAAAGAACACCTCGTATCCTAGGAACCGCAGTGCCTCTTACCAAATCCTGGCAAGTTGCTGCTTGTATTTTACCATGGAAGTATTTACGGTGCTCTTTTGCTGGGTAAGAACGTTTGAAACCCTGTCCGCAGACCCCATGCACCCCTGCGCACCCCCGCAGCCCGTCCTTATTTTGTCCCTGAAAGCGGGGGGAGCAGCCGTGAACAACCGTAGCCCAGCACACCACGAGTTCACAAAACCCACCCGGCCCCAGGGGACGCAGTACAGAAGTGGCACCAGGGCACAGCACACATTTGATTTACACCTGAAGCTTTATTAGGAGGCGGGAGAAGGCTCCCTCCCGCTG